TTGCGGTCAGAACCTGAGCCCTTGACCCTCCAGTGAGGAGACCGGATCTGTTCTGCTGTGTGGACGGTTTGGATCAGGGAGCAAATCAATACAGAGCTGTTCTGATGAGACGTGACGGTGCACTCTTCCACCATGACGTCTGTTCATAGCTCAGGAGATGGTTTCATCTTTAATCGATTAGCTGCTTTTAATAATTCAACTGTTTTATATTCGGATAGCAGAGGAAGGACGTGCATGTGAGGAAATGTGTTGCTGTACCTGCTTGTTCCAGCAGGTGGCGCCTCTGGCTGCTTAATGAGCTGCAGGTGTGTTTGGTCCACAAAACGAGCGCACCTCCCTGCTGACCGACTGCATCAACTCTTAAAAAAAGGCATCTGGCGGCTCGGTTTAGCAACCCGAGGCTCATGCTAATGCTAAGCTAGGACTTTCAGACAGACCAGGAGCGTGTTCAGGAGCAGCAGGAAGTGATGAGGTGCATCAGCGACGCTCTGCTCTGAGCATGAAGACGTTTTAGAGGCGATTCCTTCAGAGCTTTTCATTGAAGCGCTTTTATAAAATATAGAATTCTGAAAATGAAATGAAACCAGGACGGAGCTTCACCGATTAGGGTTTCGTGTCTGGATCATGCTGGTTACTGGGTTGCTTTAATCCAGGTTGTGTTTCCAGGTGTGAATGTGAGTGTGCTTGGTTGTCTGTCTCTAAGTGTAGCCCTGTGATAGACTGGTTACCTGTCCAGGTGAACCTGCCTTCACCCTGAGTCAGCTGGGATAGGCTCCGCCCCCGTGGTGAGGATCAAGTGGTGTTTACACGTTTTAAAGCTCGCTGCTGAAGAAGCGCTGATGTTTCCTGCAGCTGTGTTTAGTTAAACCGTCTAAACACTTTCTAAACAAGCGCCTTGGATTTTTTTTATTTGCACTATTTTCTTGGAAATCAAAATATTTCTGCGGATACGATCGACCTGCAGTCAGCGGCCGGAGCTTCATTCCTGCTCTGACCCTCCATCATCAGCGTTTTATTCTAAATATTTTGAGCGCTTCTGTAATTTCTAGAAGTTTCATTTCCCACTGATGTTTGCACATCGTGGACATCCTGCTCGACTCATTACGCTCATCGTTGTGTAACGGTGGGAAGCTGTCGGTGGGAAGATAACATCAACATGAACCAGGTTCCTCCTAAACACTTCTTACACGTCCGTCGGCTCTCTGGCGGCTGAACCGTTTTAATCACCTGCTGTTTCTCACTCTGTGACTCAACCTTCTGCTTTCAGTTCCTCTGTGAGGTCACTACCTGCTAAACACATCTCACAAGAATCCAATCATTTGGAAGGAATTTGGAAAAGGCTGCAGGTTTTTTTTTTTCTCCAAATCCTTAAAAATGTTCTGCAAAAGACGATTTAATTGAAGGAACGGCGGCCAGTTTGATCAGTTACTGCAGTTTTCCACTTCAGAGACGCTTTAATGAGGAAAGAAAACGAGCCAGAATGAAACCACAGACTGAACCGATGGGACGACCAGGAGACTTCGGTTATTACCGAGTCACCAGAACCTGGAACCGTGTCTGTCTGGTTCTGGACGGCGGCTTGCTGCTGGTGGAGTTTTGGTTTGTGGAGCAGGAGGAGAACAGGGAGGAGCTGAGGTGATGCTGAAACAGATAAATAGGCTGGTGTTCTGTTTTAGGCTCCTCAGTGGTGCAGATCCAGTAATAACAGTAATAACTCAGGAATGCATTAAAAATTCCTCTAAATGAGCTGAAATGTTGTTAAACGGTGACATTCAGGTTATTTTAATGATGCGACGATTCAGTAATTTCCCAGACTGGGATAAATAAAGTATTTTTCTGTTTCTCTTCTATTCTATTCTAGTCCTGCAGTGTGAGGAACGTTTATAGAATAGAATAAAAAGTTTTTATTGTCATCATACACAAAGTACAACGACATTAAAAGACAAACCCAGTGATGCAAAATACAAGTATAGAAAAGACAAATAAGAACATAGAAATATATTTACAGAAGGAGCCAGTAGGAAGTAAATACAGTCAGGAATGAGCCAGACAGTAGAATAAATATATGGCAGTGTTGAGGTTAAAAGCACTGGGATATATGAGAAATATAATTACTTATAAATAATATATAATAATATCTAATATTATATATAATCATAATTGAAAATTTAAAAATAATTATAATAAATATAAAAATAATAAATAATATAATACTAATAATAAATATAGTGTAGTATAATATAAATAATATTTGTATATAATCTAATAATAGATGTATATGATAAATAATTAGAACTAATTTACATTAATAATAAAAAATGGAACATTCAGTCATATTAGTTCAAGAAAACAGAAAATAAAAACTCTAGAAATGCACATAATGATATTTTATTATAATTATGATCCTGATTGCTTTTTTCAATCAAGGCTTCTGTTGCACAGATGTTATTGCAGTTTTGAGAAAACAAAATCAACTTTTTGAGCCTTTCTCGTATTTGTATGAGTCTGAATATAAAATATCATCTTTTTTCTTTTTATTATTTTCATCTAAACACTAAACCTTTAACTTCACGGTTTGTATGAATATTTTCTGCAGATTGTCGAACTCGTCAATGAGAGGAAATGAAAGCAACTATTTTAAACCACGTGTGCGCTCAGAGCGACTCTGTCGGGGTTTTCCAGCCTCGACGCGTTCACATAAAATAAAATGCAGTTTCCATTTGATCGGCTGCAGCTTCAGAGTTCTGGTGGTTCTGCTCGTTTAGCTAATAACGCTTTTATTTAGTCGGGCTGCACAGTTTTAGGTTTCACCGTCGACTGATGAACTCAAACTTTTAATGCAGCTTGAAACGAAAAGAAAACTCGTATTTAAAGAAGCTTCATCTACAAATCTGTAGCGTTTTAAGATGATCTTCTTGACTTAATCAGCTCCTCCCACGTGTTCTGTTCTGTTCTGCTCTGTTCTGTTGAATCACTATACTTCTTAATTTAAGTCACGCTGTTGCACCAGAACATCTGATTGTTCACACTCAGTGCATTGTTCATCATACAGGACCAGGATTTACAGGAACGGTCCGATAGAGCATCATTAAATCTGATTAAAGGGTTTTTGTGCACACAGTTAAAGCACAGGAACAGGAGAGGAGCTCTGATGAGGAAGATGTGGTGGCGTTTTTAAAAATGTTTTATTTAATTCATTGAGTTCAAACAAAACAATTCACGCAAACGTTCCTGAATGAAAGAAGAATAATCTGATGTTTTCTGCCTCTTTTACCCAAAGAAATGCATGTAAAAAATAAACTTAAATTACAAAAAGCATCAACAACAACACGAAAAACATCAACATATTCATTACAAAAACAACAATAATAACAACATGAAACAGCTCCTTCAAAGCTGACAGTTTTACTTTATGTACATTTTCTTTAATACAACAGAAAACTCGACCTGATAATTAACTCGTCTTAATAATAATGAACTCGTCTCCTCGACACACCGGCTTTATTTGTTCCTTTAAATGTAAACACTGGTTTTGGTTCTTTGGTTTCTTTGTTCCACAAACTGATTCCTGTCACAGAAACACAACTTCTGTTCTGAATCTGGGTTTGTTTGTTTTTTTTTAAAGATCTCAGTTCCTTTTAAATCACACCTACTTTCTCTTTTTCTTTTGAACATCGGGGTTCTCTGTCGGCTGTCGGTTGCAGCGACACGAAGCAACGCAACTCATTCGTTTAAATCAGCAGCACGAGGACACATCTGGCCTCCAAAGCTGATCAAACATCTGGATTAGGAAGGATCCCAGCAGGGGGTTTCTGCTCGACCCTCTCTGATTTACTTGCTTTTTTTTTTTTACATTAATATTGTTAAACCAGGGCTGCAGGTGGATCAGTGGTTAGCACCGTAGCCTCACAGCTAGAAGGTCACCGGTTCACGTCTTTCTGATCTTCCTGCGTGGAGTCTCCATGTTCTCCCCGTGCAGCGTGGGTTCTCTCCGGGTTCTCCGGCTTCCTCCCACACAGTCCAGAAACATGCTGAGGTTAATTGGTGATTGTAAATTGTCCGTAGGTGTGAATGTGAGTGTGCTTGGTTGTCTGTCTCTAAGTGTAGCCCTGTGATAGACTGGTTACCTGTCCAGGTGAACCTGCCTTCACCCTGAGTCAGCCGGGATAGACTCCACCCCCCATGACCCTGGTGAGGATGAAGGTGTAGAGATGATGGATGGATGAAAGCTCATTTTGAGACCAACTATTTACAATTAAAAAGCTTTTTTTATGTTTAGTTTTTTTTGTGTGGTTTAGTTTGTTTGTTTTTGTTTATTTGTGCTCAGAGTTTCATGACAGATTAATTTAATTTCATATTTAAACTCAACTTTAATCAGAAACTAATTGATCTATTTGTCTAATTTTGCAGATTCTGATGAAAAAACCATCAGGTGTTTATTTTTATTAACTCCTGAGATGTTGTTGCTCAAACGGCCTCAAATTTCAGTGTGAGAACATTTAAAAAAAAAACATTTTATCTAAAAAAGTATTCACTATATTTCGCTAAAAATTCACACATATCTCTCTGCGTATTTATATTTTATGCTGTAAAAGTTTCAGGTGAATCAGAGCTGGTGGAGCAGAAGAATGAGATGAATGACGCTGCAGCTTTATCCAGCGTTCTTCCATAAATGATCTTTGCAGATACGCTCCTCTACAACAGTCTCTAGTTCTTTACAAATGGAGTCATGTGGTGAAAACTCCTCTAGTTCTTTTGTATATATATCACTGTATGGAAACACCAACATGCTGCAGATGTAATATGTAGTGGTCTTAGCTGAACAGAGGATCCCTGACGGTCAGAACTGGTTGAGAAATGTCCGTGTTTGGTGTGTTTTTGTGCTGCAGGCAGAACCTTTCAGACATAAAGTTAAATTAACTTATTGGTTTAAGGATAAACTGTGGAGCTGCTTCAGTCTAACACGTTCTGTCTTCTTAACGCTGTGATGTCTCCTCCAGGGTGCGGCGTCCAGTGCAGATACAGTGAAGTGGAGAGCGGAAGATGCCGGCCCCGCCTCCCCCACCACCCCCAGGGCCTCCCCCGCCTCCCACGTTCGCTGCTGTAAGTCATCGTGTCGCTCGGTGGGCCCACGTCTGAGCTCGGGCCTCCTGGTGCCGCTCAGCAGAGCCATCTGGTGGATGGAGCCACGGGTTTAACTCCACGGTGGATCCACAGATGTACTCATAGCCTCCCATTAGAGAAGGAAAACAAACAGCTGAAATAAGCTGACAAAAGAAATAATAAATACAAATGTAATGAACATCATGACACTGGTTTTGAATTGTGGTTCAACAGAAATTTTTTTTTTTTTTTAAATTTAAAAAACAAGCATAATGGGACCCATAAACTTGTTTTTTTTTATTATTATTATTATTCTTTTCAACCGAAAGTCAAAAGCAACTTTTTATTTCACTAAATTGTAATTTAGCAAATTTTTATTTATCATTACTTTTTTCAGTTTCTAGTTATTTGAGTGTGAATTTTTATTTTTTTAATTTATTTTTTTCTTTAGCAGAAGGGTATAAATACATGTGAGGACATCCTCAGTGATCCAATAATCTGGTTTAACCCTCTGAACTCACTGTGTGATTTAAACTCCTCTAGTTATAGGTTAGGTTATAATGATTGAATAAAAATAATAATATAATGATTTAGGATGTCCTAAATGATAAAAAGTTAATTTTCTTTGATTATTCAATTTACAAAAATTGGAAAACAAACTGGAGTCACCATGTGCAGCATTTCTCCTGCAGGTGTTACCGTTTTGGGGAAAAGACTTTAAATATTACAGATATTTAACCACCTACATGTTTAATTAGCTTCTATACTCGTCTCCTCTCTGCTGATAAATCTCTGAATTTTAATCACGAGACTGTCGGTCGCGGCTAAATCACTTCACATGTGCACAGAGGGACGCAGAATTTTTAGTTTCTTACAGCATTCAGTTGCTAAAAACGGTTTATTCTGAGCAATGTGTTGGATTAAAGCGGTTTTAATGAGATATGGAGATTCTAAGCTTAGTTTTGGTGAAGTTTTCCACACGTCACACATGATTAGGCGAGTGTCGTTGTTGTGTTTTGTTTAAAAGATAAAACGTCCTTTTTAAACTACCGGCTCCGTCAGCGTCGTACTTTTAGGATTTTTTTTGTGTGTGTGACTAAAAACAAGCTGTGATTGATTTTTAAAGGGTCGACGGGAGCAGAAACCTGCCATCAGTTTATTACAGGAGCATTTAAAACGTAGTATATTTATCTACCTTTAAAAACAAAAACCATGACCATGATACCACATATGGCGCCATGTTGTGTTTGTTCTCCCTCCTGTGGTTCAGACGGTTTATCAGTCCCTGTAAATATGACTTTTTATGACTTGAACGTCGTTGGATTTGCTTCACCTGCAGTTTATTTGTCCTGCAACACCTGCTTCCTTCTTATTGTTTCTCCTGTAAAGCACCAAATCGCTGCCAAACTTGACGGTGACTCCGGTTTGTGTTCCAGGCGAACACCGAGAAGCCGAGTCTGAACCGCTCGGAGCAGCAGGGAAGGAACGCCCTGTTGACCGATATTTGTAAAGGCGCCAGACTAAAGAAGGCCGTCACCAATGACCGCAGTGGACCCTCGCTGGAGAGTAAGTCCACGCCATCGCTTCTGATGTCTGCAGCGAGGCGTCGGGACGTCACAGCAGATTAGAAACAGAAACCTGTGGATGTGTTGGTTGATTAATGTTAGTGTTGTTTGGTTTCTTCTTTCAGAGCCTAAAGGAGGAGGAGGAGGAGGCGGTGGTGGTGGAGGTGGAGGTGGAGGTGGAGGAGGTGGCGGCGGCGGCGGTTTTGGCGGCGGATCTCCTTCTGGTTTAGGAGGCCTGTTTGCAGGAGGGATGCCCAAACTGAGGTCTGCAACCAACAGAGAGTCCACCGGTAACTTCTGCCTGTTAATACTTCCTGCTTTAATCACACAGAAGGTGTAGTTTAGATAAGTACGATTTATTTTGAAAAGGGCAGCATGTTTCACAAACTCTGATCAGTACAGCTTTTACTTTGAAAGTTCACCAATCAGCCAATCAGCTGTGAGCAGATTAGACCCCTCCAATAAACCATCACAGCTCAAAAACTATAAGTCACATCCAAAACATTCTTCCACCGTGTGAAGCACCGTATTGTTCAGAACAAGCTGACGTATTTTCATGTTCATACTTTGTGTTTTATAAATTTGGCGGCAGTTTAAAGAGAGGCTCCACTTCTGATTTTGGAGCTGTGAGAGTTTTAGTCGACTCACTCTGAGGTGATTTATGAATAAAACATGAAAGTCCTACAGCAACGAGAGTCACGCTGAGTGGAAGAGGACGAACAGGTTTCATTTGTTCATGTAGAGCAGAAACGGTGAGGAAGAGAAAAGTTTGTTTTTTTTAAGTGTTTGGTCCAAATTTAGATGATGCTCCGTGTGACGGCAGGATTTTAGTATTTCAAAAAAATTGTTTGGACCTGAACCGCGACGTCAAAGATATCAAAACATGGATTCAGAGAAGTAACATTTTAAGACTTGTGACCCGTTTAAACTTAGAATGAACCTCCTACTGTAAAGAATTCCGGAGCCACAGAGCCACAGAGCTGCAGAGCTACAGAGCTACAGAGCTGCAGAGCTACAAAGCTACAGAGCTACAGATCTATAGAGCCACAGAGCTGCAAAGCTACAGAGTAACAGAGCTACATAGCAACAGAGCTACAAAGCTACAGAGCTGCAGAGCTACATAGTAACAGAGCTACAAAGCTACAGAGCTGCAAAGCTGGGCTTTGGCAGCTGTCCGGTTGTCTTTCCATTTGTTTAAATGGGGATTTTTAATGCATTTCATAAAACATCTCCTACATAGGACACAGCACATCACCCTGACTGAGCTGCTCGTTCTGATATCTGACTTATTTGGGTTTTCTCAAAGATGCAGGACGAGTTCGGTGCTGGAAGAATCTGTAGTCAGAACAAGTCAGAGGAGTAACAGGTGCTCTTTAGTCCTGATGTGTCGGGACACTTGATCCCAACACAGGAAGTCAGACCTCGGGGTAACTTTTCCTTTTTTCTCCCCCAGACTCTCCACCCAGCCGAGGACCCGCTCGCCCCGGAGGCCCCAGCCCGTTTGGTGGTGGTGGCCCTGCCGGCCCCCCTAAGTTCCCAGGATCCCCTGCTGGCGGCCGCGGCGGCGCCCCCGACCTCCCCAAAGGCCGCCCCAACCACTCCTCCCGACAGGACTCTCCAGGAGGAGCCCCTCCTCCGGTTCCCAACACGCCTCGACCCAGCCCGGGCTTCCCGTCCCGCGGGGGTCCCTCCCCGCCGTCGCTGCCTGCAGCGCCCAGACCCGGCTTCGCCTGTGCTCCTCCGCCGCCCAGCGTCCCCTCAGGCAGGCATGGACCTCTGCCTCCCCCGCCGGGAGGCTCCTCGCCGGGGCCTCGACCGGGCTTCTCAGCACCTCCTCCTCCGCCTCCCAACAACAGCAGACCTCCGTTACCGCCGACTCCAGGAGGGAGGCCGCCGCTGCCCGACGACCGGCCGCCGCCGCCTCCGGCCCCGGGTCACCGGCCGTCGATGCCCCGCGACATGCCGCCCCCTCCCCCGTCCATCAACTCCAAACCTCCCCCCTCCATGTCCTCCCCTTCCTCTCGCTCCCCCGCAGGTGGAGGTGCGCCTCCTCTGCCACCGGGCCGACCGGGTCCTCCTTCCATCCCGCCGAGTCCGGCTGTGGGCGACGACCACAACACGCCTCGCCTGCCCCTGAGGAACAGCTCGCTCAACAGGTACCGGTTCTGCTGCGTCCTCCTGGTTCTGGGGTCACGCAGGAACACAGTGAAGCGTGCAGAACTTCCTGTCCGGCCTCAGAGAGCATGTGGCCGACAGTCGTGTCTGTTTGCATAGATTCACATCTAATAGCTGAGCTCACACATCATGCAAACTTCTGCTCGTCGCTTCCTCACAGCGAGAACGGCCTCGACTCACAAGCTCAGCCAGCATCTGGAGAATCAGTAGTTTTTCTGACTTTACACAGAGTTTGTGACAAAAGCTGTTCAGGCAGCTTCATCCTGTAGGTTCTGATTCAAATAAGAAGTTAGTTGTTTACGTCACTGTGGGCTCAACATCCTAAAGTCCGGCTCGTTTCTATGGAAACAACAACCAGGACTAGAAGGAGACAGAACTCAGACTTTCTTCTCTCTTCAGTGTGACTCAGTTAGAAAGCCATAAAGTATAAAAGTAAAAAAACAAACTGGAGTTTCTTCACTTATTAATATGACAGAAACTGAAAAAGCTTTGAATCTACACACTGTGTGTATATATATATGTGTGTATATATATATACATATATATACCTGTACTGCCTCCTCCTCTGTGTGAACACTGCCTGCAGTTCAGCCGAGGCGTTGAGAAGAGCAGATTGTTTTAGTTTTCTGCAGAATCTTATGATAGCAAGTCATTTTTAAACCACACACGTAGAATAAAGTGATTTTTTGATGAATTACGATCATTTTAGGCTCATATTTGGTTAATTTCCCGACTGAACCACATGTTTTGTGCTCCAGAGCTGCCAGAAAGTTTAAAATCCTCTAATTCCTAATCAAAGGTTTTGCATTTTATTTTTTTATACAAATGCTGTAAAAGTGGATTAAAACTGTCTTCATGTTTGACAGCCACGCTCCAGCGCCGCCTCACGGCCGGTCGGGTCCGCTCCCTCCTCCGCCCAACGAGAGGCCGCCTTCTCTGGGTCGGAACCAGTCGTCAGTTCGCTCAGGTGGGTGATGGACCAGTGAAGATGGATTATTGTGCTCAGTGTTCTTACAACACAGAAGAGTCACTTTACACCAGCTGACGTTCTCCCTCCTCAGGCCCTCTTCCTCCTCCGCCTCCTTCGGGTCGTAGCGTGGGCGGGGGCAGCGTGAGGTCATCGCCGGCTCCTTCTCCTATGGGTCGGCCCGGCCCAGAACCCCCTCGTGGCGGACCGGGCGGCAGGCCTCCTCTTCCTCCGGACAGACCGGGCGTCGGAGGGGCGCCTCCTCCTCCGCCGCCGATCGGCAACGGGTTCCAGAACTCTCACCACAACCAGACACAAGGTGAGGGAACAGCAGAGAGCCAGAAACACGATAAAATGATCAATCACTGAACCAAAAGACCCACCAGCTGCTCGTCTTTTAAATATCTCCCAGATTTGACCTCTTGTTAGAGCCAGAAATGATAAAAACAGAAGATTTTAATTCTCTGATGGTCTCTAGATGTGCCGTTCCATCATGTGTATGATCAGACTCTAAGCTTAAAGGTTTACTTTAATCATGAAAAAAAATCACCAAAAATAAAGCATTTGTACTAACCACATTCTGTTAAAAACTAAAAATTCTGTCTTTGTCCGCACAACTGTGAAGCCATTAATGACTCAGCTGTGAGCGACGGTCACGTGACTAAAATTCAGTTTATCTGTGCAGAGCAGACAGGAAACGAATTACAGAGATTTAGAGCAAAATAAAAATAAGTCCTGAGCAATAAAATAAACAGCGTGGCTCAGAAACGACACACAGAAGAGCAAGTTGTTGGAAGACACATCCAGCACGGGGAAATATGTTTGTAGAGTTTGTAGCAGTGATAAAAATGTTTAAAAAAATAAAATAAAGAGCCGCCGTTTCTTTCCAGTATTGGTAATTTCACACATCCATCGTTCAGAACCACTAAAGCCTCCGTTTGTCTCCCGAACAGACGAGTGGGAGTGCCGCTTCACGTTCCACCCGGTGTCCGACCTTCCTCCGCCTGAGCCCTACGTCCCCTTCCCCAAGACCTACCCCAGCAAGATCGGCAAGACCGACGGCAAGGGTGAGTCAACGCACACCCCACAGCTCCAGAGTGGTTTGTCTGGAACCGTAAAGAGTGACTACAGGCAGCTCTGAGTCTGTAAAACCAGCAACCCAGAACCACAGCATCATGAGTTATAGCAACACAACTGATCCAGAGGGTTTTATAGCAGGAGACACGCTGAGGACAGTCATGGTGGTGATTCTAACAGTCAGGCCACGATAATGAAAGTAAATCATCATCATCAGAGCAGTAAAGACACCGAAGGCTTCAGATTAAAACTAGAGCTGGTTCAGGACAGAAAAACCACGAAATCAAGCTGGAAATCTCAATGTTGGTGCTCGCTTTGGTTGACCTGTGAGCACTACGTCTGTTTAATGCTTTGTGTTCGTGTCGTGTTGTTGTGTACTCGAGTGTTGTGCAGCTTTTGCACTTTTAACGGTGGTAGTTTTTATTTTTATTCTCGTATTGCCTTCACATATGGAGCAGTGAGAGAGCCAAGCTACAAAAATAAATCAGTAAAAGAATAATAAAATAAAAGGGGATGAATACATCTGAGGACGACTGGATCTGACGCTGCGACTCGCTCTAACTGGTCCTCTGCTTCCTCTCAGGTTCTGGTAAGAAGGAGCGAGGAGCTCCTCCTCTTCCTCCCATCCCCAGGTGAAGAAGCTCCGGCGGCCGCCAACACTTGGACCTCCGCCTCCTGCTCCTCCTGCTCCTCCTCTCCGTCTCTGTTTCTTTCTCTGTCGCGCTTCGACCTGCAGCATCTTTTCAAACGGACCTGACGTCCAGTCGACCAAGTAGAAGGACCGACTCCCGACGAGGAGTCCACATCACAACCAAAGCCTGCTCGCTCTCCGGTGCACCGTGTTTCTGTTCAGGTTTACGCTCTGGAACCAGTTCTGGTGGCCTTTCGTTGCTCCGAGTCGTGGATCTGTCATGACTTCATTCCTTTAACCTTCTCAGCCTTTGCTCACGTTTTATCAGAAGAACATACTTGACCAACGTTGCAGGTACCAGGTGTGAGTTCCCCTGCAGCTCAGTTAGACGAAACCAATCCTCCCGATAGTTCCACGTCACAGGGTCTCCATGGAGCAACTTCTTATGCAAAGAAATCACCGTCTTCAAGTGTTGAGAAGCTGTGAGCTGTCTTCTTTTGTTTTTTATCCAACCAGTGTTCAGCCTTTTCTGTCCAGGATTGTACTGAAGGCTGCCTGCAGAGGGAATTAGCCAAGGATGCCTCTTGTGCCTTAAATTATGTGTTTGTTCTGCCCCTGTTTGTCTTCAGCTGGATTGAATCCCCTCCGATAGATGTAAAGGATGTAAAGCAGCTTGGTGAGGGTGAACGTTTAATGTGCCAAAGCCACGCGTGCCTTCACGACGTGGGTCCACGTCTGTGCGTCTCTGTTGGAAGCGGTACTTTTTTTTATTTTGTGTGTGATGCTAATGATAGAGTTTTAAGAGGACGCTGTGAGCTGATTGTTGAGTCACCATGAAGGCCCGTGCATGTGTCCGTGTTGTTTTAAGTTATGTTCCAGGAGTGTGCAGTATTACGTTCCGGCTTCGTGTTGTTATTGTCAGCGCCGAGGAGGCCTTTCCTTACAGACAATCATACGGAAGTAAACCTATGTACGTGAGAGAATAAAACGCTTTAAGATGCTTCGTGCGCTCTGCTCGGGCTGAGGACGGGCCGCTTTTATCGGACCGTGCGTCGGAAGAGATTTGATTTGGGGTGAGCTGTAGAGCCGCATCCAGACGAAGTGACTTGTTTTTGTATTATCAGATAAACCATATGCACCATTTACATATCTGTGCAATAAAATCAGGCAATAAAGTGATGCGAGAGTGTCATCAAACACAGGCCTCGTCTTTTTATTTTGTCTGTTATTATCACAGGATTTGGGTAAAATGTCATCTGCATGTGTTTGAAAAAAAATCACCAAAAACAGCAGAAAATAGGAGTAAGTAATGTCCCATCAGAATGTGGGTTTGTACAAGTAATAATTAAAAATGTAAATAAAATGACAACAGAAAAAACAGTATTTTATTTTCGCTGTTTTCTTTAGATCAAATATTGCACTTTTTAAAAAAACTTTTTTCCAGCACATTTCTTTGTGCTTTGACCATTTTTTTTAGAATGCTGTTTTAATTTAATTTTAATTTTTTTATTAGCAGTACAGAGATAAAATAAGAGTTGTTATTCAAAAAGAGTAACACAATATGGAGCAACTCTGTGCAGGCCAGACAGAATTGTTTTTGTTTTTTTTCACCCTTAAATGAAATGTCCTTTGTTTTTATAATATTTCAGATTTTTTTGTTCTTCACATATTTGATGAAGATGCGACGTTGCTTTATTTCAAAAGCAAAGCTGGGTTTGAAACCAGACCGTTTGTGGATGTGGAATTTGCCAAAAATGATCAGAAGTCCAATTATAGAGTGGATATTATTAATATTCAGTCCATTAATGTATAGTAGCATCTCTTAATTTGAATTATTTTAATTCAAAAATCTATTTGAAATTAATTAAAATAGATTAAATTTAATTCAATTTAATTTAATCTTCCTTGACTAGATAAATCATATATGTCACTTAAAAAACATTAATTTAAATAAATTAAAATTGATTAAATTAAATCCTCCCTGACAGGGTAAATCATGTTACCATAAAATTGAATTAAAATATATTAAAATAACTTTAAAAAATTTTAAAAATCAAATATTTCCTGACAGGGTAAATTTGATTTACAAGAATAATTATTTCACTTTATTATTAATTTAATATTTATACAGGACACAGCACATCATTGATTTAATGCAGTTACATTTCTCATCCAATCACAATCCACATTCCAGGCATATCCCGGCGCTGATTGGCTTGACGGTCTGTCAATCACGTCAAAAGGCGTCGCCGCTCTGGGCAGCTGTCAGATTCAAGAGCAAAGAACCAAACGCCAAAAACACGGGATTTAACAGCAAACGGTACCGATGAATCCGTCGCTGTCCCGGGTAGAGATGGCCGTCTGAGACACGGAGGTGAGAAATACAACTTTTAATTGAATATGTTTATCTTATCATGCCAGATGTGGGAGGTATTTGTCACCGCGCCCTCTGGTTTGTTTTTAGCCCGCACCGATGCTAGCTATGCTAACGGTCAGCTGGCGGCGACAACGCGCCCGTTAGCTTCACAGACCGTCACGTTTCTCCGGTTTTGGGTCGCTACCAGGTCGGTAAACCGCCCGAAGCCGCTGTCAGTGAGCGCAGCAGCCTGGACTCACGGTGCTAACGGAGCTAACGGAGCTAATGTAGAGACTGTGGGACCATCCAGCCTCCTGTAATACGAGGGTCCCACATTAACCCTGTGAGGAGCTGCTGCTGCTGTGTCACGTTTTCACCCACTGTGGGCTCGTTTCTCACTGAAACACCAAGTCCTGCACCTCTATGGAAACAGAACAACCAGGACTAGAAGTAGAGAGAGGTCAGAAATGTCTCCTGTGCACTATAGTAAAGTTCTGATGCCATAACTCATAAAAAATGGTCAAATTTAATGTATTTGACTATTTATTTTTGTAGAAGGGGATTTAAAATGGCACATTTTACCAAGTACCCACAGCTGGTACCAACACTGGAGAGAAAATATTGTCTCTGCATCCTATAGAGATTGAATTCATACATTTTTAATCTGTTTCCCACCTCTCCTCTCTGCTCTGTATGAACACAACCTGCAGTTCAGCCCAAAACTCTCTGAATTTTTCCCAAGTGTCTGTTGGTCACAGCTGAGTCAGTCATAGCTTCACGGTTTGGGCAAAGAAAACAGAATTTTTTGTTTTTCATAGAATCTGGCTGCTTCAAATGATTTATTTGTGGCGAATTTTTAATTGGAACTTATAAAATAAAGCGATTTTGACTGATAAAACACATTAAATGGCGAAATAATGTTTAGAAAGTTAAGAAACTGTGTTTTTCACTTTAATCCGCACATCAGCTTGTTGACCCTATTCAGGACTTTCTACAAAGAAGATATGTGTTGGAATTCATTACAGAATTTAATATGATGTTAAATACATTTTCTGATAAGTTGAAGTATTTTTGGTTCCAAATGTCCCTCCTTTATATTTAAAAAAATCTTAAAAATAAGAAAAAAAATACCTGTCACCTAAACCAAATGCCCCGGGGTCCAAAACACCCCAAAAGTCCTGGATAGGGTTAATACAGGATAAAGGAATTAAGAAACAAGCAGATTTTTAGATTTTAAGCTTAGATTTGGTTCGTTTTCCAACAGAGCTGCACGTCAAGAACCGTCAGAAAGTCAAAAATCTTTCTATGGTTGGTGTTTTTACAGTTTGATAAAGTGTGTAATTTATGTGATTCTTAAATATCATCAAACCCACTGAGTTTATAGGTTCAGAAGGTAAAAATAGTCTGCATTTCTTTTGGATAACATTCATTCTTTTTCTATCTGTCGTGAAACCGTATCTTTCCGTCTCCCCTACAGTATTTCTTTGTCGTCCTCCAGACCGCTGATATTCACCGTCCGACCCCTCTGACCCCCATCCCATCGTCGCCATGGAGACGGCCAACAGCTACGTGCTGATCCACGGGAAGAACATCTCCCACAACGCCCCGGCCGGCCCCGCCGCCGGACCCCACATGTCCATCGACAAGTTGTTCCCGGCTCTGCTCGAGTGTTTCGGCATCATTCTGTGCGGCTACATCGCCGGCAGGTCAGTGCTAGCTCAAAGTCCACATCTTCTTTTATTCACACTGTCGTACAAATTCAACTGGTGGAGTCCTCTTGGCCCAGTTTGCCAGAATATCTTTACATTAAAACCCCCAAACTGGCACAGATCAAATATCAAAGTTAAATCCAGTTAGTTTTGTCAGTTTTGCAGCCGTGCCATCATCACTGTGTTGTATGTGGCTGTACTGGGAACCTGAAGATGCTAACGGTGGCAGCTCGTATGTGTGCCGTCCTCTGATTCCCCCCCACAGGGCCGACATCATCACCGAGAGCCAGGCCAAGGGTTTGGGCAACTTTGTGTCCAAGTTTGCTCTTCCAGCTCTGCTCTTTAAAAACATGGTTCTGTTGGACTTTGGGAACGTCATCTGGGCGTTTCTCTGGAGCGTCCTGGTCGCTAAGGTCGGTGTGTGTTCACCACATGTTTACAATATGTGCTTTAGATGATTTAAGATGAAGCAAAGTGTGATCTGTTAAAGCTGCCGTCCTGCTGCAGGTGACGGTGTTCGTGCTGGTGTGTGTGCTCACCCTGATGGTGGCCAGTCCAGACAGCAGGTACAGTAAGGCTGGTCTGTACGCCATCTTCGCCACTCAGAGTAATGACTTCGCTTTGGGATACCCAATAGGTGAGAAACACCAGCTGCTCATACCAGTTATCAGTGGAGGAAAACACCATGATTAACACAGAGACTCTGTTCCTCTGTCTGTCTCTGCTGCTCTAGTCGACGCTTTGTACCGCAGCACGTATCCAGAATACCTCCAGTACATCTACCTGGTCGCTCCGGTCTCCCTGATGCTCCTCAACCCCATCGGCTTCGCCCTGTGTGAGGTGCAGAGATGGAGGCAGGCCAGTCATCCACAGCACGGTACTGCTGGCATCCTGGGAGTTGTTGTCTTACAGGTACGACTACAGATACAGCTGCTTTTGTTTTGTATTAAAGGCCAGTTCATGGTTTCTGCATCAGAGAGCAGATGCACACGTGGTTCTATCTGTACTACACCAGATCAACTTTATTCTGCGATGGGGACGCGTTGCCTCTCACACTGAACACAGACAAACACTTGCTGGGAGTCTGTGACTTTGCACTTTGTACAGAATATAGCTGCTGGATTTTAACACCTTGTCAGTGTGATTTATTCCTGAGTAGCTGTCAGGACAGTGGGTGGACATCACACTGGATTTCTGGAGATGTTAGATCTTCCTGTTGTGTTTGGACACCGTCGAGGGGAAAATAAGTACCTTCAATGTCCAGCAGCAACTGCTTTAGTTGTAAATGATAAATTGTAAAGGTGTGCATGATGGAGAATGGGCTGCAGGTGTCTCGGTGGTTAGCAACGTTGCCTCACAGCTAGAAGGTTGTCGGTTCGCATCCCGCTGAGGACACCTGGTGAGGATAAAGCGGTGTGTATAGATAATGGATGGATGCAGACTTGGTAGATGGCTAGATTTATGTCCCACTGACCCTTGTAGACGTTTGTAGAAGCAGAAAGCATGAACTGGCCTTAAGTTTGACCTAAAAGCTAAATTTCTGCATTAGTTTGTTTCTCAGTGTCTTTGGTACTAGTCTGACTAGTAATCGTAATCCTGCTACTGACTTTTTATTTAACTGTCTTTGTCCTTCCTTTCTGCTGTCTGTGTGTTCTTTAGCTACAACCTCTGAACAACAACACTGAAACTGAAGTTTTGCAGAGGATCTGTATTGTGCAGACAGACCTTTATGCAGACTGGTCTGAGACTGTTCTGATAGGGCTCTCATTTTGTTATCTGCGTGTTTTCTTCCACTCCTGCAGGTGCTGAAGAACCCGATCGTGTTCATGGTCCTGGTGGGGATCATCTCCCACTTTGCTCTGGGTCAGCGGATCCCGGCCGTGCTGTCAGAGTTCATAGACGGTCTGGCCAACTCGTTCGGAGGGGCGGCGTTGTTCTACCTCGGACTCACGATGGCGAGTCTTGTGTTCAATGTTTTTAAAGCCAAACGTGTAACTTGTTTTGTTTAACTTGGTTTTTAACACACATGAACTGTAAAGTGAATAACCAGCTGTGTGTTTCTGCTGCAGGTCGGTCAGCTCAGAAAACTGACCCGAGACACTGGAGTGGCCTTGATTCTGCTCATCACAGCCAAACTGTAAGTGGAGCAGTGTGGACATGTGTGTGGTGGGAGGTGAGGGCTGTGGTCGTAGCTCAGTGGTTGTGTTGGACTGCATTATATTAAAGTGTTTTATTATTTTTATTATTTTTATTATTTATGTGTCCATTAGTAGAGACAACCCAGTCTGGTTTATTATTTAGCATCTGCTGAATAGGAGTCTCAATCAGATACCGTTTTCCTCAATAATACACATTTCAAGCACCTTAAATTTATTAAAATCAGTCCACTTTATATTCCTGGTAACTGAGTAGCTCTGCAGTGATCCTTCCTGTTCAGCTCCAGTAGGGGTTTAGCTGACAACAGGCACCACGACAAAGACCTCTATGACTCTTAATGACACCTGATCAGAGCTCATGTGTTGAAGGAAGCAGAGACTGACTGGAGTAGGGCTGGGCTGTATCATAGTGTGCACATTAATACAAAATCAAATCAACTTTACTGTCATTGTGCTGTACATACAGGCTAAAACGTCAACAGCCTGAAACCTGCAGGATGAGTTTCTAAAATGATCCCAACACAAACTGAAACCTTGTGAGCTCCATAAAGGACGTATTTGGGTTTATCTGATAACTAAGCTGCTAACCAAGTGCCCTGCTGCATCCAAACCCATGTTAGAAACTGTTTGGGCTTCCAGACCAGAACTCCTTCAGCGCTGGGTTGTTCACACACCTGTGTTCATTCTTCTGTGTCGTCTCTGCAGCCTGGTGATGCCGCTGGTCTGTAAAGACATGGTGGACATCCTGGACGTGGGCGTGAACAGCACCAGCGCCAACCACACCAGTTTGTCCAACTTTGCTTTCCTGTACGGAGTCTTCCCGACGGCGCCCAGCGTGGCCATCTATGCAGGACACTATAACATGGAGCTGGAGGTGGTACGTTCTCCTCATGTTCTGATCCTGCATCTGAAACGCTGTGACATGTGAACTGCATGACCGCGGCATGTCCAATCCAGAAGGTCAGCGTCTGGACCAGCTCACATGACAAGATGAAACCCAAACAGGATCACACACACACACATGCAAAGCCTAGAAAATGGTAGTTAGCTGCTGTTCAGTTGCATCTACAATACTGCCCACTTCCACTCTCCTACTTCAGTTAGTGAAGCAGACCTGGAAGTTAGCTGCTGTTGAGAGAGTGTGAGTTGAAGTTTCATGTGGTCTCATTGGTGCGAGTGCATGAAGCTGTATTGGCGTCGCTGTAACCGACACAGGAAGCTGCTGCGTTAACCACAGCGGTGGAAACTTCATTAACTTTGGTGTACTGTGGTGTCTACGCGGCCCGTCTCGTGAGAAACAGATCGCACCTGCATTCGCTGTTTTCTTCTGCTCATAGAAAAAGGTGTAAACATGTAAACAAAATCACCTACTTTATTAGTTTTAAAGTCATTTTTGGTCTCGCGCCACAGATACCAACAGCAGCTACCACAGCCCACAATGTGGGGCATTCAGGGAACATCGGTAAATTGTAGCGTCTATCGATAAGAAAATGTTCAGGAAGTCATATGTTTTGCCTGGGACAAGGTGGGAGGTGCAAACAAATGAGAAAGTTGGTCTGGAGTCCTGTGAAGTAGCAGTAGTGTTGTGCAGAAAAGTAGAAACCCAACCCTGCTGCCTTTGTTAGGCCACTATTTACAGAAAACATCACGAATTGGCTTCTTCGTTATCATTTTGTTGTCAGTAGTTGCTCAAAGATGGGACTTCTCATGACTGCTTTAATTAGTTTTCCCCATATTTCAACTCACCCACATCCAGACATTGTTTGATCTTCTTGTCGAGTCTCACAGATTCTGAATTAATGACATGATGAGAAATAAAAAGTGCAAATTTCAGGCTTTTATCTTTAAAATTTTGGACAAATCTGACTCTAGAACTCCCTACTTTACTGTTTTTAAAGTCATTTTTGGTTGCACACCACAGATACCAACAGCAGCTACCGCAGCCTGCAATGTGGGGCGTTCAGGGAACATCGGTAAATTGTAGCGCCTATCGATAAGAAAATGTTCAGGAAGTCATATGTTTTGCCTGTGACAAGGTGGGAGGTGCGAACAAATGAAAAAGTTGGTCCGGAGTCCTGTGAAGTATCAGTAGTGTTGTGCACAAAGTCTGAACGGAGTTACAGAAAGTAGAAACACAATCTTACTGACTGTGTGACCTTGTTTTTAAATGTCTTCCTGCCTGTAGGTAACATCGGGGATGGTGATCAGCACCTTCCTGTCTGCACCCATCATGTACGTGTCCGCCTGGTTGTTGACCATCCCTCTGATGGACCCGACCCCGCTGGTGACGGAGCTGGAAAACGTCAGCTTCAACATCAGCATCGTCAGCCTCGTGGCGCTGGTCAGTGTTGACGAGTAAAGTCACCGTGTCTTAGAAAACAACAGTCGCTGCTAGTTTAAATGCTGTGGTTAAGACCCTGTAGTGTACGTTCTGGTGTGATTTTTACCTGAATAATTGACATTTTAGGGCTTAAAACTCTACACAAACTATATAAAGTAGTAGTTTACAGATTGTTTTAGAAGTACAGTCCAGGTGATGGAGAGAAATGTGCTGGAAAGATGATCTTAATAGACTATAATTAAGAAGCACGAGGCTGCAGGAGGTGTTTGTCTTGTTGTGTTACGTTGACGGAGTTCAAGGACAGAGTTTGCTGAACTATGTGGCTTGATTCCCCAAACATGAACACACACCCTGTGATCATCTGTCTTCTCTCAGGTGTGGACCATAGCAGTGATGCTGCTCAGCAGGAAGTTCAACAGACTTCCTCACCTCTTTGTGCTCAACCTCTTCCTGGCTCAGGTCGGTCATTCAAACATGTTCGTTTGTATTCATTAATCCATGAGACCCGACGTTCACCGTCCTGCTCCAGCTGAACCTTGTGTGTTTCCCTCTGCAGTTCCTGGTGTGTGTCAGCATGATCCTGTGGAACTTCCTGGTGAAGCAGGAGGATAATCTGGTGGGAAAGATCCTCACCTTCACTCTGCTCTACGGCTCTCTGTACAGCACCTACATCTGGACGGGTCAGGACACGTATTCAAGAGCTCCTAGGCTTCTTCAGTCACATAACGTTTATCTGAAGCGAGAAGCTAGGAACCAGAATACTGAAGTAAGATGTGTGTTTGGGTGTGTGTTGTTTCAGGTCTGATCCCTCTGTGTCTGGCTCTGACGAACAGAGATGATCTGCTGAGGCTCAGACCAGGAGTCTTCATGATCCTGGGTTGGGGGTAAGTCGGCACCAACACCCGCTATGAGGGAATGAAACCTTTAAAATCTCTTGTTTTGTACATTAATATTGTTAAACAAGGGCTGCAAGGTGGAGTGTAGCCCTGTGATAGACTGGTTACCTGTCCAGGTGAACCTGCCTTCACCCTGAGTCAGCTGGGATAGACTCCAGCCCCCCATGACCCTAGTGAGGATTCAGGTGTAGAGATGATGGATGGATGAGATGATCCTTGAAGTAATGACTGTATTATTGTTTCTGTGTGTGCAGAGTTCCCTTCCTGATGGTCGGAGGTCTCCTGGTGTCGGGGGAGAGGACTGAAACCATCGACTCCGCCTTCTTCTACGGCAGAGCTCAGGTTGGAACAACTCCACGTTAATGTGTTCTCAGTTCTCAGCTGATTATCGGCGTATGTTCCGTCTTCTCTCTTCTCGGTTCATTATAGGGATCACAGTTAAATTCTTGCTCCAAAGCACTAATTTAAAACCACAAAATACAATTAAAACTCGTTAAATAGACGTCTAATTAGTAATGTTATAAATACCAGAGTCAGGGTGGTGGTTTGGAGCCCCTCATTGGTCATGACGTTTATCATCATTCGCCTCAACTGAGCAGCATCGTTGGTCAAACATGTGCTCCGACTATTAGATGTGTGTTAAGTGAACAAAACAAGATCTGAGCAGTGCTGCCATGTCTGGGTGAGTTTGATTCTGATTTTCAAGGATTCGTCATCAGTTCTTTTTAATGCACCAAACAGTAAACCCTCCTCCCCTTCACTAATCCCTCCCAAAATCTAAGTCAGAACATGTTTTCCAAAGCAGCAAAATACAACATATCGGCATAAAGTCATGAGACAGATAAAAACACAGTATGGGAAATAAAAACGGCGTAATTTTGGAAGAAATAAAAGACGGTTTAAAGGAAATCCAATCAGGAAAGGCTCTCTGATAGAAGCATGCTGAAGTCGGCTGATCTTTCCTTGAAGCTTAGATCACGTTTCTCCTCCTGAGCTTCCACTGAGCAGCAGCAGATGTCAGACGTGTGCTTCAGCTGTTAAATGTGTCTCCAACGCTGTCCTGTGTGGGTGAGTTTTGAGTCTTATACTTCAGTTTGATTCGTGTTCTGCTCCAGATCATCAGCACGGCGGTGGTTCTGGCCGTCAGCCTGGTCCTCGGGGCCGTTTCTCTGATGGGCCTCAGCCAGGGCGAGAGGGAGCAGAGCGGCTACCAGGCCCTGAGCAGAGCCGCCGTGACGGGCGTCGGCGACGAGCTGAGGGCCCCTGCTGGCCTGGAGGACCCACCACAACAACAACAACAACAACAACAACAGACGCAGGTGGCAAATTCACCGGCCTGCAGCATCAACTCAGGTAGCTCTGTTCTGCTTTTAAACGCTGACATGAGTCTATAACTGATCTATAGCTAACATGTTTAATGTGTTCTCCTGCACAGACCTCCACAGCTTCTCTCCTCTCCAGCCGATACCTGACATGATAGCGAGCACACAGCGGGAGCACACCAACAGCACAGGTGACAAGTTTCATCCAGTTATTCAGTGTGAATTATGACTTTGTAGTTACTATAAAAAGCTACACACCCTCCCTGACTTTTCCCTCAGTCGTGGTCAATACAATCACTTATTTTACATTTTTAATTAATTCACTTTGTCGAAATCTGTTTTCACTTTGAAACGAAAGAGTCTTGTTTTTGTAAATTCCTGTCAAAAAAATGACAAATTTAATTTTAAATCTCCAAAAAAAAGGTATATACACATGAAGTGCTCGTAAAAATATTTAGAAATTCATTTGCTCACATCGATTTTTGCATTTAAGAAATTGAGCAGAGATGGATTTTAGTGTTTACTTCTATATTTCATTTTGTTCATTCCCCTCCAGGCCACAGTGGGGCGCTGTGTGACGGCCAGCAGCAGCAGAGTTCTTCCTCCTCTGAGCAGCCGCTGAACCTGCCTCCACCCGGACCTCCAGCCGCCGCCGACGACAAGCAGACCGTGAGACACGTCCTGCTCTGTCTGCTGCTCTTCGTCAGCCTGCTGGCGGTGAGAATAAAACCCGCTGTAGGTTTATTAATGTGTCAGAGACGGAGTTTAGAGGCAACAGGAGGTTCTGAATCAGGTGGGAAACCCGACGTCCCAAAGAAAACATGTCCGGGAAAACATTAACGAGTGTCACATGACTGAACACAGTCTTTTTATGTGTTATTGTTTGTACACATGCAAATTAACTGTAATTAACCCTCATCAAAATCAATTTTATTATTAATTTAATGTATATTTAGGCTGAATCTTAAACATCCTAACAGCTGTGATATCATGTAATCAAATTGGGCATTTAAAGGGTTAAAATAACAGAAATAACTGCATGTTTGATATTTTTGATTAGAGCAGAAGTTGATTGAAAGCTTTGAGCCAAAAAAAAAAGATTCTGTTATTTTTATAGCAGTTTTTAGGTGAAGACGTTTTTTTCTGCTAATAACCCCAAAGGGCAGTAAATTAAGAATCTGCCACTACAAAAAAATAACAAAGCATCAAAATCAACTTTATCACTCATCTTACATATATGTAGGCCTGATCATGAACCTGTAGCAGGTGGAGAACTGGTTCATGTAGCGCTATGCTAAGCTCACCGAGGCTGCAGAGTAGAACCTGAAGTTCACCTGTGATGAGGTAGCTGACTATGAAGCAAGCTGGAGCAGGAATCAGTCTGTGACACAACAGCAGCCTGCTGTTAGCGGTTAGCGGTTAGCTGTTAGCAGCGACTAGACTTTCAAATAAAGACTCAAAGTTGTGCAGAAACAAAGCTCTGCTTCTGGTCAGAACCTGGAAAGTAAAATTGTGAGTTGACCCTGTGGCCTTGGTTCAGTTAAATCTGTGGGTGGAGTTGTGCTTCAGGTTGTGATTCTAGCCCAAAGATCACCAACTCTACCTCTAGTTGACCCGACTGAGCCGTGTAAACTAGTCCTGATGTCTGACTGGTGACCGTCTGTCCGTCTGTAGAACCTGTCCAGCTGTCTGTGGTGGCTGTTCAACAAAGATCCAGGAAGACTTTACCTGGAGCTGCAGTTCTTCTGCGCTGTGGCCAACTATGGACAGGTACCCATGTGTCTGGTGTCCATGGACAGTTTAATCCAGATTTAGTAGAACAGGGTTTTAATTTTCTCTCTGTAGCACCACCAGAGACTTTCAGCTTTATGTTCAATATTTACCTGTAACTTCAGTTAGTTTTGGTAAATTCACAACAATAATCGTGTCCACATTGAGGTTCAAAAACAACATCTGCTGCTACCTAAATGCAGTTCTTCCTTCTGTCTTCATGTCTCAGGGCTTCCTGTCCTTTGGGATCTTTGGTCTGGACAGACATCTCATCATCTTGCCTTTCAAGAAGAGGTGAGACTTCCTCCATCGTGGTCGACAGATTAATGTGAAATCGGCTCTAGAACAGCGTTTGTGTGTCCTTCAGGTTGCTCAGCTTGTGGCAGGGCCGAGAACCCGAGGACCTGAGTCCTTCAGGGGTACCGGAGGAGGTCCGGCTCACCTGCACTCAGTTCGTCCGCTACCACAAAGACCAGTGCGTCCAAGACATCGTGCACACTCGCAGGTACGGACGCTGGTTGGTGTGTTTGTCCGTGTGTTGTTCAGTAAATGTCGTCTTTATGTTGGAAATCACACGTAGATGGTTTATTTCAAGTTCCTCTCATGTTGCTTCTGTTTAAGAATGAATACGTTTGATTCTGGAGGTTTTAGTCGACGTTTGCTTCTGTCCCGTCGTTGATCTTTTTAACTGCATGATGAATCCTGACTCTGTCCAAATGATTTGCTGTTTTTCTCTGAATCCTTTTTGCATGTTGCCTGTTCATCTGTTCGCTGCATCTACTTTGGTTTCTGTCCACTGAGCCGTTGATAGATTCAAGTCTTGCCATGTTAGACGTTTATACTTCGTTTGTTTTAGGTGTCGAATATGAAACTGACCTAAAACAAAACTCTACTAAAACTCTAGACTTGGGTGCTTTTCTTCTGACGTGAAATTCTTCCTTTCCCTTCTCTCTCTCTTCTGTATTAATCCTTCCCCTGCTTCCCCTCATACTTCCTCTCCTCCTCCTTCGCCTTCCTTCCCGCCTCCTCTCTTTCTTTGTCGGCCTTAGCGGCTCAGGGGAGAGTGTGAATGCTTCGACAGGTGAATCCTTCCTCTGATAGCGACAGGTTTGGAGGAGGGCAGGAGGCCGATGGCGGCGCTTTGAGACATTCCCCTTCCCGTCAACCCCGACACCTTCCCGAGCGACTTGACCACGAGTCGCGGAATCTGCACCCGGTTTACGAAAATCACGAATTTAGCGGCCAACATTCTCCTCCATCCCAACTTCACCGACCACACGTTCCCAACCCCGACGCACCTCAGGAGCAGATTCCCCAGCAACAGTCCGACCAAGCCGACGACCAGCGTGGACTCGTTTCGAGGCCAAACCAGCTTCCTTCCCAGCAGGAGGCGGCGTTCCGAGGCAGCGACTTGGTGGACTGGCTGGTGGAACGAGGCCTCTGCGCCGGACGGGTCGAGGCTCAGCTCTACGGCGTTCGGCTTCAGCAGGGAGGAGTGTTGGCTCATCTGACAGGACGGGACGACTTCAGGGACGAACCGAGCCAGCTGTATCGCTTCATACAGGAGGGCGAGGAAGAAGGAGCTCGGAGGTAGCGACCACTGTGGCGGAGTGCCAAAGCGAAAGTGCCTTATGGTGCAAAAAAACCCAAAAGAGACGACTCTGGAATAGATGAGAAACCCACAAATTCTCATGAGTTTTACTCTATCGTGACACTTTTGCGCCATAAAGTTGATGTTTGGTGGAACCTCTGATGGACGTTTGCCTTGACTGACGTTTGTTCTTGTGATTGCGTCTCCGCTCGACCTCCAACCTGCAGCAGAAATGTGAGAATTACCAGCTGAGCCGACCGAGAAGCTGCATTTTAAAGCGATGGTTGGATTCCGTTAATAAAGGATAACCGATAAAGGGAGGGAACAAGCGCCCCCTGCTGGTACCTGACCCCTCCTGACTTTGAGCCAGTTTTTTTTGTTTGTTGTTTCCACTGCACTGAACTCGGATGGCTTTGATTTGAGTCATTCTGAACAGGACTGAATCACAGACTGTCCAACATGAGTGGGTTCATGTATATACAGTATTATTTTGTTAAGGACACGTCGCCATTCATCAGCCGGCCATCCTTTAAAACTTTATTTATGTGCAAGTCATTGACGAGAAGACAGTAAGAGCAGACCAGACGGGGTGCTTCACTGAAAGCCTACGACGTTCTTTGGTTTTATGTTGTCTAAGGGTCAGCCGATATGTTTGGTTTTTTTCAGGGCAGATTCTGATTATATATCTGCTCTAAAAATCAAAATCTTGGTGTCAAAATTTAGAATAATTTTGTTGAAATGCCTTCGTTTATTGATGTTAAAGAGCACTTGTCAGCTTTGGTCCGTCAGTGTTGACAAGCTGTGATACATAAATCAGAGCCAAAGTAGCACAAAATCACGAAAACCTAAATTGGGGGAAGAAATGCTGACTTAGGGATGCTTATTGATCATTTACCAATTAATAATTTACAAGTATATTAACTGACAAGGACATGCAAGTCAGAAAAAGTATTGTCAGTTAGCTGTAGTACCTAATTGTTCCACCAGGTGGCACCTCTAATCGTGCAATGCGAGGAGGCGGTCATAGGGAGTTCCCTGTTGGCAAGCAGAGAGCATTGTGGGAGTTTAGCTAGCAACGTGCCACCATGACAGACTTCAGTGACGATTGATGACTTGTGGGCAGAGCTTTTGATTACAGGATGAGTCTAGGAGCCAAATATCAGATAAACAGCTGCTTTTCTAGCGACCGTCTCATGTTCTACATCTGAAGTACTCTCTGCTAAACTTCCCTTACTCTGACGATAACTGATTCATGACGCTGCCGACTGTGACGAGTTCAGGACAAATTGTTGAGCATTTGCATCCCTGGATCTGAATATTGGACAAACTGTTAACGAGTCGCCCCCTACTGGTGTCATGTTTTCTCTCCGATGAAACCATTCAGTTCTGTCAGTACTTTCTTATTTTGCACGCCGTGTCTTTGAACTCCGCCGGTTTACACCGACCACTTGCATGACTCGAGCAGGACCGACTCCTGCCGAACCTTTTGCACTGACTGAACGACGACACTCATGACGTTTTTGAATTATGCAACTCACTGGATGTCCGTCTCGTGATGACGCTGCAGAAGATGTTCATCTTGGCGTCTTGTTGTCGTGTCGCCGCTTTCGGTTTGAAGTAATTGTTCATCTGGAAATGAGTTCATTCCAACAGGGTGGAACTTTTGCAACTTTTTCTGTCCAGATCTGGTTCTAGTTTGACTTTTACTTCTTTGCCACTAAATTGAACGTGGACACAAACGCATGTAGTCGTGGTGACCACACATCTGTGGGTCGTTTCAAATCGGCTGATTTTTGCTTGACCATCTCTGATTTTCCAAGTGTTTTTTTTTTTTCAATATTTGTGAAATTTTAATTCGATATATCAAATACTTTCTGTGATTTTGTTAATTGCCTGTTGACCCACTTTCAGCACTTTTTTTTTCATACATTGAAACTGAAAACAGTATTTGAAGAACGATTAAAGATTAAAAACCTGAAATCTTCATTGTTATTTATCACCTTGATTTAAAATCTGTAATATTGGACAAGTAGATTAAATCGTCTGATTATGGGTGAAATATAAAAATCAACTGAAGCCATTATTAAAAAAAGAAAAGTAAAAAAGAAAACATTTTTGAGCACAACTTAACAAAGACGTATGAAACAGAAGTCATGTAGGGATGTTTTCTAATTTATATGTAGCTACACGTCACAGTAATGGCAAATAAAACACATTTAATATAAAATACGAGGTCATAAAAATGGGAAAAAAAAAAGGTTTTCTCTGAATTTTTATTTCTGAACTAATGGAGCAGATATGAAAAACGTATCTGGGAAACTATTTGATATGTCGAACTGTAGTTCTAAATATCTGTAGGTTATGATGATCAGAGATGGTCAAGCAGAAGGCCGTTAGAGATCTGAGATGACAACACAGCAGCCACCATCAGGCTCCATATCTTCTCCTGCTCTTCTCACGTCTTCGCTCGCTGTACGTTGCTCACAACAACAACAACAACAACAACAACATCACAACTGAACTGTTTACAGCTGTTTGTACCTGTTGGGTTGCTGCTGATTTGTGATATGAAGTTTACAGCGTGTTGGTGGGAGACGCTCAGACGGCGATACGAGCACATACGAAGGACACGCTAAGGTCAAGCTAGAACAGCCGTTAACATGCAGAGAAGTGGTTTTAATCTTTCTATTGTCCGACTGGTCGAGTTCTGACCAGATTTATGTGAAACTTCTGCAGATATTTACTGTTTTCTGAGCAGATTTGTTTATTTCGGAGGATGTTTGCGTGTCGATGACCTCCGTGTGCATGTTTCCGTCTGTGCGTCTCCTAAGCGACGCCGTACGAGTCCATGCGATCCACGTCAGGTCCTCGTGTTTACTGGGTCAATAAAATGTGATTTACTTTGAGAGTGCCTGCCTCAGCCAATGTGAAGGTGTGTGTGTGTGTGTGTCTGCATGAACTCAGTGTCTCTCTGTGTGTTTGTGTGTTTGTGTGAAGGAACGTGTTGATGGAGGTGTTGTTGTTGGACGGTGGATGTTTCAGTGTGTTGCTGTGAGTCGATCGGGGTCAACGACCTCAACAAAGGCACAAATAAAACCCTGTTTGCATCCAGAGACTGTGATTGTGGATTCATATGTAAACAGTTCAACACAAAACTGATTTTATTTCAGTTAAACACAAAAACACACATCATGGACTAAAAAAGAAAAGTTTTAAAAACATGGAGTATTTTTTTGTTTGTTTGTTTTTTTTGTTTTGGTCAAACAAGAGAACACCAATAACTTCCTCCTCCACCCAAACAAAGCCCCTTCAAAATAAAAGCAACATACCAACAGCAAAGGTTTACTTGTTACTGTATTCATAAGACTACCACTGCACTGTGCTGATTTAGAAAAGAACTTGAATATAGTTTAACCGAGCAAACAGCAGATTAAAAACAGAATTTTGGCACTTGAGGTCTTTCTCAGATTTTAAAAACATAATTTTCGTGTCATTGATTAACAGATAACAGCTGACTGCACTTCCTAACGGTGAAAACCAGTTTACAATCTATGATTTAACATCAAAATACATGAACTAAACATTATCCTGACATCAGGTTCATCATGAAAAGCCTCTCAGACGTCCAGATTGTAAATATTTCTCAGAGCAAACTCAAGTTATTCTGATTAAAAGCCACAATTTAAGACTTTCCTCTAGACTCTGCTCCATCAACTTAAAAACTAAATATCAGTCAACAAAGTGCAACGACACGCCGCCCACATGAGCAGCAGCACCAGATGTGATCTTCTCAGAACAATTTATAATTTAAATAACGATAAAAAAGTAAGTGAACAGACGAGAAAGCTGCGTTTAGCCTCAACTCAACCGTTTGAGTTCAGTTCAGAAGTGAGGCAGTAAACGAGTCCCACGGTGCTCGTTTTCAGCTTTTACAGAATCTGGTTGAATCAAACCATCAAGTTTTGGCCATTTTTAAAAAATTCTGTGTTATTTTAGTGTTTTTGAGAAGATCACACCTTTCATTCATTCATCTGAGTGCAGCTGGATCGTCTCATATCACATCTTTAGGACGTTTCTGCTCGACCGTCTCTGATTTGTCAGAATTTTCACAATTGTGGATATTTATAAAGATATTTATATAGATATGAGCTTTCTGTGATTACGTTCTTCACACCTGCTCCATCAGGTGTGAAAGTCCAACAAAAACACAGTGAAGTATTTCACATTAGAAGGATTCTACAGGATTTGTTCTGTGTTATTGTGAAACGCAGCCACATGTGGTTAAGGTTAGGGTTTCAACTGGCCGATAATCAGAGATCAGTTGATCTACGTGTCCAATATCACAGATTGTGAATCAATCAAATGATGAGAAACAACAAAGAACATTTCAGGTTTCTTTCTTTAGGAGTTCCTGAGCTTTTGTTGTTTAAATTTAGCCTCAAATTTGTTACAAAAAAAAAATTTAAAAACCTGACAGGAGGTTTAACGACTCGACATGTTAACGTAAAACTTCATGTTTAATAGCCAGAGTTTCTGATGATAAAGTTTAACCAGAGATGGTTGAGCAGACGTTCCCTGATGGTTTGTGATCCAGCTGCAGCTTCATTAAGACGCGTTTAAGTGCTTCAGGAAAAAAAAACAACAGACATTTAAAAGTCCAAACAAGCTAAAGCTACATTTCCTCCGTTAAGTTTGTGGAGCTGAAGACCGAGTTACTGAGTAAACATGTTAAAGGAGAAGAAAACAACAACAACAACAACAACAACAACAACACTGGTCGAATAAGGAACAGAGAGTCATAAAGTCAGGTTTCCCGTCCTGTGGATCTCCACACCACACAGGGCTGTTACAGCTTTAAGTTCTCAGCAGCACCGTGGACACCAAGTCAGAGGAACGAACCCTAGAAACAGCAGCACGGGGGGTAAAAACGTATAGCTGATGTTTAAGAATGAAAACGTCTCTACAGAGAACTTTAGCATCCAGATGGACCAAAGTCAGCAGATCACTGACATGATGTTGCATAATAAAATTAATTAATCAATAGTTTTAGTCTTATTCTACAACGTAAAACAACTCAGTTTAAAAAAGGTCGAAGACTGCAGCGTTCAAAACAACCGCTGATAGAGAACAAAGGACTTTATTGGTAAAAATACAGACTTTTGATGACGTAAATTTAGACTTTTTTCTGTGATTTTACCAGATATTATCAATAATTTAACAAAATCTGTAAAATAACAGTTAAAAATGTATTTATAGATTTTTTTTCCCATTTCAAATAAAAGCAAATATCTGTAAAATAAAGACTTTTTGCTGATTTAAATGCAGTAAAGATTGTGAAGGAAGGAAATACTGTTTTTAAAAATATCGATTTTTAACATTATTTACAGTTTTAACTTGTTTTTTAATTGTCAGCATGTAAATTAATCTTTTTATTATGATATTAATTTACTATTATTATTATTATTTACCAGTTATTTCCTGTAGTTTCAGCAGCCTTACGTGTGATTTACTATTTTTTAATCCTTCATTTACATCATTTTGCAAAAATCAGTGAAAGATGGTTTTTGCTGAGTTAGATACAATAAAAATTGCATAATTTTACACTTAAATGCTGTAAAAGTCGGAACACAACGTGTAAATTTAGACTGTTTTCCTCCAGTTTTACTGGTTTTTTACTGGTCGTTTTCTGTAATTTCACAAAACATCGATCAGCTGGACAACAACTGATTTTTTTTATATTACTGCTACATCTCTTTAGAGTACAGAGTACATCAGAAGCCTGTTTATTTTTTGTAATGATCTGATTATATCAGGAGAATTTGATTAATTCCAAAGCTGCTGTAAACGGATCCTGATCACAGTAACTCCTCAGAGTGTAAACTATTTCCTGTAACTACATCAGGAACTTTAAGGCAGCTTCCTGTAAGTTTAAGGAGTTTTGAAGCTCTTCTCAGCGACCTGAAGCTGCTGCTGTGTGTCAGCAGCAGGAGATCTTTGGGAAACTGTGGCATAAAACCCGGTGTAACAGAATCTGAAGACGGATCGTGCCGAGTATGACGAGCCTCCGGTGTGACCTTACAGACATCACGACCCTGGGGTGGATTAAAGGTCACATTCCTCCCAGTGGAGAGTTCCTCCACCGCCTCGGCTCTTCTGACACCGAGTCCTCCTTCGCCCCGCCATCATCGCCTCTTCCGGTCCTGCCTGACTTCGGCCGGACCGGTCCCGTTGCTCTCCAGCCCGTCCACCTTCAGGTGCGTTTTGCCGTACTGTTTGATCAGAGCTCCGGGGACGAGGGCGGCGACGGCGATGGCCAGGAGCTGAGCCAGCGTCCCCCAGGAGAAGATGTCGTCCAGGGAGGAGATCTCGGAGAGGATGGAGCCCGTCCGCACGCAGATGAAGTTGTAGGGAATCAAACCTGGAGGAGATGGAGCACAAATATAATAATACACCAGTAAAAGTAGCTCTGAAGTAGTCAGATCTATGTCCAGAGTTAAAAACACAGAAGAGTTTATAAAACTCAGGCTAAGTTTTGTAACTGATAAAGCCGTCGTGTCTTTCAGAAACTGCTCTACAACCAAAGTTATGACTGTCAGTATCTGTTCTGTGGTTTTATTGGTGTGCGTTCTCACCGATGAAGACAGAGGAGAAGAAAATGGGCATGGGGATGTTGAGGACAGGACAGGTGATGTTAAGGAACCAGTTAGGAGTCATGGGAAAGAAACGCAGGAAGAGGAGGAAGAAGAACAAACTGCTGCGATTCTCCTCCACCTGACGGAGCGAAGAGACGGAAACAAGACCAAGAGGAGGAAGAGGAAGGAAAAGGATGAAGAGAAGGTGAGAGAACATGTATAACAGGTGAGCAGACAAATGACAAAGCAGGTCGTTGTATTTATGTGTTATTTGCTGCACAAAGTTCAGGAAGCAGGAAAAAGAGAAAAAAGGTTTCAAATCCGCCATCAATCAAAGTGATAAATCCTCCACATTAGCAGCCGTAGGTTGAGCATTAATATGTACAGATTACAGGTTAAATGATTATTAGTTATTAGACCAATAACTGGTCTGAACATCTGTAGTAAAAAGTCTTATATTTGGAACAAGACAAACTCCAAACAGCTGCTGTCAATGTGCTACGATTAGAACAAACAGTTTGTTAGTGTAGGAGTTGGTCAGAAGCTTGTAACACCGTCGTAGTAAAACTCGACTGTGAGCGTCGGTCAGACTGAACAAACCTTCCTCTGCAGCAGAGCCACCTTCTCAGGAAACAGCTTCACCACGTGCTGCTTCCCAAACGTGGACGACAGCAGGAAGCAGAAGGTGGAGCCGGACGTGGTGAGCAGACAGGCCAGCAGCAGACCCTCCCACGGCCCGAAGATGGCCCCGGCCAGCATGTTCTGAAGGACGGAGGCAAGAACAGTTCAACAGGAAATGACATCATACGGTAGGACGTGTTTGGACGCCGTTTCTGATCCTGTTTGTGTGTTTCTCACCAGGAACGAGGAGCCAGGGATGGCGAAGGACTGCTTGTACAGGTAGGCGCTGCAGAACAGCAGCAGAACGTAGCTGTGATGCTCTCGTTTGTAAAACTTGAGCGTCTCTGCGAGTTCTCGCAGCTCGTCCAGGTCCGACGGGAACTTCAGCCTGGACGAACAAACACAGGAACACAGCTCAGTTCAGAACTAACTCTGAATAAATAAACGGACGATTTAGAGGCCCACCTGTGATGTTCTGTTGGGCTGAGCAGCAGGAATGAACAATCAATCAGATATATTATGTGTGTGTTAGAAGGTGGAAACTCTGGTTATGTTTCGTATAAACAGGAAGTAAAACATCACAAAATAGTTCAACAAAGACATGAAATGTGTTTTTAAAAAGTCATAGTGTAGAAAAACACACGGACTGGGTTTAAAAAAGGCCATAAAAAGAATAAAATAACAGACAACTGATGTGTTTTTGGAGCTCCATGAGCTTCCAGTGCATCAGCCGAGCAGCTCAAGTGTCAGAGGTCAACGTCTCCAAACTTCAGCACTTGAAGCCAAAAATATCCACCGTGGAGGACAGCAGCGCTAAGACGAGCTGAGAGGGGAAACCAGTATTTTTAACTGGAGTGGAATGACTCACAACAGAAGACACAAATCATCCAACAAAACATGTCAGAAAACGTCAACAACAAACAAACAACAACGTCTACGGTGCAGTGTGGCATCCTCATACATGGAAGTTCAAATCAGGATTCAGTTCAGTTAAAATGAATCCATGAAGATGCTCATAAGACCAAAACAACAAACGGTAGTCTGAGTTCAGTTCAGCCTCATGTGAACGTTTTTGCCCCTAAAGTTAAACTATGGAGGGTAAATACAAACTAAACCGGAGGACAACAAACTCACACGTCTCTCATTTTGTAGCCGTTCAGCAGTCGTACAGCAACGTGTGAGACTCACTAATACAAGTATTTTAAAATACTATTTAAACTACATTTATTTACATGATTAAGATCTAGACAATGAAATAAAGCAGCAGTTCCTGATGCTGCAGCGCCTCAATAACCGATAAAGACATCATGAAATAGCAAATAAATATAACACAGTAAAAAATACAAAAATACCAAAACTAAAGCTGAACTTCTTAGAAAAAAAAATGGGGACAAAAATGCTCTTAAAAAGGTGTTTTCCAAATAACGTACTAAAAACTAAACTAAACTAAATTAAATTAAACATTTACATGTTTACAGCTTCCACTAACGAGCTCACTCTGCTGTGTGACGTGTTATTGGCTTACAGGTTTTTAATTGGAGCTCTATAATTAAAACTGAATTGAACTACATGCAGCAGGCTGTTGGGTGAACAGCACCAACCAGGACATCAGGCTGTGGAAGGAGATGGCTTGGACAGCGCTGAGCCGAGTGAGGCTGGTGTGGAGATCCAGCCTTCCAGAGAGCCCAAGATCAGATTCTTCTGGGCGACAGTCGAGTCCGTTCTCCTGTACGGTAGCGAAGGCTGGTCGCTCAGTACATCACTGGAGACGTCTGTTGATGGTACCGGGATGCTCCGGGCTGCTCAGGACATCAGCTGGACCATGTTCCTAACATCACGCTCTGTGGTGACCTGATCGTATCACCGGGAGGAGACCTGGCGTTGCCGACCACTGTTCCCGCCACAGGGAGCTTCCTGCCAGCCAGGAGCCGTCCCACGGCTGGTGGAAGCCGGGAAGACCTGCCACCACCTTCCTGGTGACCCTAAAGCAGGACACTGGTGCGACTCCCTCAGCCGAGCTCTCCACATGCATGACCAACAGGACGGATCGGAACCAGAGACGTGAAGCTCGGCTGAGACCACCATGATGGTGGTGGTTCATGCAACCAGGCTAAGGAAGGGTTTGTAAGAAAAACTGATTCAACAGGTGGATCGAGTGACTTTCAGAAGATCCGTGTGAGGCTGAGATGTTTAAATGCTTCAAACGTTAGAGGTACACATGACAGAAGACTCTGTAGGAGTTCACTTAGTGCTGACACGTCCAGTTTAGCTGCAGGATGTGAAGATCTCCTCTTGGTTTGTTTTTTAAATTAAAACAAAAAGCATCTTTGCAGTTAGATTATGAAAAAAAAACCTTAAATGATCATTTTAATTTGTTTTTGTTTCTTCAAACTGACCAGACGTGTTCGTCCCTGGTTGGCATGTGTTCCTCTACAGGCCTCTGTTGGTGTGTGTGTGTGTGTGTGTGTGTGTGTGTGTGTGTAACAGGATACACTCGATTGAAGGACAGAAATAGCGCCTCCGCCTGCAGACTTGAGCCGAGGGTCCGAAGACACAAACCAAAACCCCCTCCTGAAACTCAAGCCGCCACCTGCTCCCACGTCCACTCACTCCCGCCTCCTATTGGTCAGCGCACCAACATCCCGCTCCGTCATTGGCCGGCGGGGCGACGGCGCGGCAGCACACGGACACATGAAACTGCGTGGACGTATGTACAGTATTCGAGGAGGGAAATGTGTCATGGTGGGCACTTTTAATTTCGCTGACGCGTGCTCCCATGACGAACAATCTGTCACCGCAGACGCACAAATAACACGCCAGTATCGATGCACACGAGTAACTTAAGCAACACGGACTCCCCACGGAAACAGGTTTAAGTCTGATGTCATGATGAAGACCTGAGGGGGCGTCCGATCAGGTTAAATGTCATCCACAACATTTAGAAGTGTTAAAAACCATCACTTCCATTTTTAATTCATCTGTTGGTCATTTTCTCAATCAATCATTTGGTTGTTTGGTCGACAAACGATCAGAAAAATGTCGACTCCATAAGTTAAAGATAAAGATGATGAATGTTTTTTCCACAACCCAAAGATGTTCAGTTTACCGTCAAAGAAGAGGAAAGAAACAAGAAAAATATTCACAATTAGGAAGCTGGAATGACTCAGAACAATGATCAGAATGGCTGTGAGTTCATTAATAACTGATCAATAACTGATTCTTCATCGCAGCTCTATTGTGAGTGTTTGTTCATTCTCAGTTTGTTCAAATTAAATCCTGCTGTCAACAGTGTGAAGTCTGGAGGTTTTTAAAATTAGTTTCCTCAGAAAAACTTTTTTAGAAAATGATGAAACTCATTTTATTACACATCATCCTAAAACTCATATTGACCAAAAATGTAGAAACTAGGAAATATTGTAATTTAAGAAGCTGAAATCTTTACTTTTGTTCTTGTATTCTGTAATTATTGTGACATTTACTAATTGATTAATTGATTAAATGTTCTATTTAGAACTGAAAAAGCAACCAGTGCTCCAGTTATTCTTTGTTTATTGATAATAATTAAAAACAGTGAAAAGCATGAAATCCTCTCACATGGTTTTAATCTTCTGTCCACTGATGAATCATCTCAACAGAAATGACAAGATTCAGACTTTTGGGGTGAAGTTAGCAGCATAAATTAACTTTTACATCACATAAAATAACTTAAATAACTTGTGAAATGTGTGTTAAGGCTGCAGGATGGTATGTTTCTGACAAATATTGATTTTTTTCTAGAGTTTGATATTTACTGTCTGAAACACAAAAAGCTGGACAACGTGAATCTGTGAAACCATCAGAGTGTGTTTTAAAGTTTGTGATTTCCCAACAGCACCGTCTCTTGAATTGTTCACCTCTAGTTTATAAAACAGGGTCTATTACTGGAAACCAGATCATCATCGAAGGATTTAAGTTTATCATATGTCATACAATTAAAAGAGAAAATAATATTTAACTGTGTCGGTGCATCACATTAATGATAGAGTCTGCTGTGTAGAAATAAATAAAAATACTGAACAAAAACGGTGAAACACTGAAGCCAGAGTGTCTGAATTTAAAAAAACAAAACAAAACTGTAAAAATAGAGAAAATAACAACAAATACCAGTAAAATAATGACGTTTTTATCTGATTTAATTCTTTTTTTTCTGTGATTTTATTCAATATTATCTGTATTTAACAAAACAGGGAACATTTGTTTAAAAAATTATAAGTTTTCAATCTGTACTGTAATTTTGTTTTTTAAATAATGGCAAATAAATGTAAAATAATGATATTTTTTGCACTTTTTTGTGCTTGTGATTAGTTTAAAACATATTCAAGGTAAAGATGAATTTTATGAGACTCGTTGTTTTCTGGTCGCGTCAACACACAGAAACCCAGATCAGTTCTGTCTGCTGGGACGTGGCTGAAAGCTCCGGAACGACGCAGTGAGCAGGTCCTTTAGTTGATTTATTGATTTTACAGGAGTTTTGTGTTTGTTTTGGTGCTGTGAGCTCTGAAGCTTTACTTGATTATAACTGAAGGACTGAAAACAGGAGACGTGGCTGAAAGAAGCAGCGAGTGACTGGATGCACTCACAGTGTGGTTAAATGGCTTTAACCGGAACAGTGGGAGTTCTATCCATTTACTGGGCACACACACACACACACACACACACACTCGCTGCTCTTGGCTTCAGAGCGTCTAAGTCGGCGTTATTCTATCATCTCCAGACAACTCCAGTGTCCGGCACATGGCAGCATACCGCGGTCAGGACTCACACACACACATCTAGAAACACCACAACACACTGACACACACACACACACACACACACACACACTGTGAGCAGTAACGTGATCGGTGCCATATGTACTGAATTTAAAACACATTTCATGTTTTACTGCTACCTCATTAAATATTATTATTATTGTCATATTTCACTTTAACAATCAACAATATGAGCAAAAACAAACTCATTAAATCAAATACATTAACATGAAATTAACTGACAGCTGTTTTTTATAACTGATTGATCAGTTTGAACAACTTTTTTTTAAGAAAAAAAGGTTTAAATTCTCAGATTGTAGTAAATATTTTCTGCTTTCTTTCCTCCTCTGTGGCAGTAAACTGAATAGATTTCTCTACTTCAGAAAACGCTGATCGACATGTTTCACTGTTTTCTAACATTTCTTTAAACAACTTATTGATTAATCTAGAAAACAATCACTAATGAAGACGATGGGTAGCGGCAGCTCTGTCCTGCACCTCCTCACAGGGACCATCTCCCAGCATGCACTGGGGGAAGGAGGAAGGTAAACAGTGTTTATGGGTCACTGGTGCTGCTGGTTTCTAATCTGGGGGTTTGTGGGGAACCACCTGGGCCTCTCAGGTTCAGCACGAGGGGGTCAAGAAATGTAGAATCAGCTCTAGTTCAGGGACTTTCCTCTGTTCAGGCTGTTTTCTTTACTTCCTTTAATTTGGTTGAACTATTTGCACGTCTTGTTCACTTTAAAGCAAAAACCTGTGATGATGCTTCACAACGAGACACCGATTCATCAAATAAACCCACTTTACTGTCACAGCAGTTCATGGTTTCTGACATTTTTCATTCATTTCTAAGAATCTGTGGTTCTGGACAGAATCAGACTCCTGGTTTTATTAGTGTTAAGTTGAGGAAACTCCACAGTAACACATGAAAATGAGCAGATTTACACAGAAAGGACCTGAATTAGTGCAGAAACCCACAAAATCTGATGAGAACGAGCCAGAATAGTTTGATAAAGAGCATTAATATGTAATTATTGTGGCAGTAAAGTCGTTTTTAGCTCATTTTTACGCAGGAAAACATTCAGAAACTCAACAAAAACTGAATAAATCTGAATGTGTGCACCCATAATAATGCTAGTTAATGTATTATTTACTGTTATTAATAAGCCTGTATCTAAGTGTGTGTACCTGAACTCCCGGAGCCCCTCGTCCTGACCCTCCTGCGGCTGCGTGGGTCCCGGGGGAAGGTGCGCGGACAGCAGGTAGAGGTAGACGCTGGCCGCCGCCACGATGGCAGCCAGTCCGGCCACGGAGCGCATGTTTCCCGTCCCGTGGAAGTCCCCCCGGTTCACCGGATAATAACTCAGGCTCGGGGCTCACGGGCTGAATTTAAGACGGAGACGGAGCGACGTGTTGCGGCTCAGTTGGACGGCACCGGGCGGAGGGGGGGTCGCCTCCCCAGCAGCGGCCTCCACATGACGGCTGACATTCCGCCGCTGGTTCGGCTCAGGGGTCACATGGCAGCCCGGGACCAACAAGCTCCTCCAGGCGGCAGCAAGAGCCGCTGGCGGCGGTTGTGTAACTGCTGGAGGTGGTTTGTAGGGTCAGATTGAACCAGCTGGTCTGGAGGGTCAGGAATAAGAACAGAAGTTATAAAAACATACTAGATTATTATTTATAGTAACCTCTGAATAAATATGGACCTGGTTTATTTAGCAACACTTCAGGGGAGGTCCAAGTCCATTTAAGTTAAAATAATATTAAAAAATTATATCAGAAAAGTGGAGCAGGGCCGGAGCTAAGAACTGGATCAGGGGTGGCCTCCATGAACTAGAATCTGTCCCCCCTCATAGAACCAACTGGAGGTCAGTTCATGCGTCTTTGGCCACTGCAGGGTTTAATGCTCAATTAGGATTTTTTGTGAAATCCGATTTTTTTTTAGGAGTTCCTTCACGTTTCCAGTTCAATGCGACTTGTATGTGATCTGCTGTGTGAACTTCATACGAGCCAAAAGTGTCCCGCATGCGCAGAAGAGGACACGACGACGTCACACGCAGCGAGCGTGCTCAGTGTTTATGGAAGTAAACATGGATGGTAACGGTGGAGCGTATCTTGCAATTTTAAAGTATTTTTTTAAGTAGTTGTCCAACCGGAGCCAGCACGTGGTTCTGGTGGTGTTCTGTCCCCCATGTATCCAAGGCTCAGACAGCAGGCTAACGAGAGAGAACATCACCACAACCACAGCGATCAAAAAAATCGTGTTTCACAAAAAAATCCAAACTGAGCATCAAATCAAATCCAGTTTATTGTCATTGTGGACGACGGAGGATCTCAATCACACAGCTTCTCCTCATAGCAAGTATTTGTTTTGAACGTTATAGTCGCCTCACACCCAAAGATCCACTGGGTTCTGCAGGATTCACATTTATATCTACATATATTTTATACATAACGTGTGTGTGTAGAACTTATGTCTTTATGTGTCTGATGTTAGATTTTATTGATTACAGTGATTTTTTTGGTAGGTTCCTGGTTAGTTATTGATAAAAATGTGGCTTGTATGAAACATGTTTACAGTTTATTCAATGTGCTGTGTTCTCCTCAGCGGCCACCAGGTGGCAGTAACAGAACAAGAATCACCGCCTCTTGTTTCAGAGCTTTTTTCCAGCCTCCTGTCAGAGTGTTGATCACAGACAGTCCATGTGTTTCTCACTGTAATGTAAAATCATGTCATGAAACACCCTGAAGAGACTTACGCTGTATAGATACAATAAATGGAATAGAAAGAACTTAAGGCGTTCTACAAGAGTTCTGTGACAACTAGTTAAAGTTATGTCTGATTAATGACATCTTTAGTGCAGTAAAGAGTCATTTAATGTGTTGGTGGTTATGATTTATGTCACAGCTGCACTGTGACTGTTATGTTGAACATGTTTAATCTTCTGACACAACGGAGAATATAAAATTAACTTATTCATGAAATACGACTTGTTTTCTGTTAAAATTAGACTATTTGGTAGAATTACAACATCTGTGTTTTCTCAGTTAAAGGCTTGTGTTAAAAATTGTAAGTTAACCTTAAGTCAAGTTAAGATTATTTTATAATAAATTTGTTTTCGTTGTTAAATATGTTCTTATAAAATCACTGTTATCACGTTCTCCTGTAAAATTACAACTCTCTATTTGTAATATTTATTTATGTATATTTATATAATTATATTTGTTGACATCATTTGTTTTAGAAAATACGCTTTATTGTTAAAATGCTTCTGTATTTTTACACATTTCCCTTCACAAATAGGACTGTCTTTCTCTGGCTTCGGTAGAAAATAGTTCCTCATTATTGCGATCATAATTATTATTTTTCCTAATTATTTCTAAAATATTTTCACTTTCTCCTGCAAAATTACAACTTTACAATTGCTGGCATTCTTAGTCTTGAAATCCTGATGAGGTTTTTCTTCTTGTTTTATTTTTTCTTTAAAATTAGAACTTTTTCTGTTTTTATTTTAACCTTGAGTTCCGTCGTTCTGTCTGCAGCTTCATCTGACCTCAAAGTCAAGGGAACTTTCTATAGAAACACTAGTTTTTAATTGAGATACAGCTTTTCTTCTGTGTTTTTATTTTACTACATAAAGGTGTGGGCTTGTCTTTTTTTGTTTTTTTGCGCGCTTCTTCCGGTCTGTCCGGTCTGACGTGTTCTTACGTCGCCGCTACGTCACCTCAACGATGCGGAAGTTGAAGTCACCGTGGAGAACGTAAACTAATGTCAAGCAGCCTCCTGGAAATTAAAGAAAAGAGCCGAAGAAGAGAAAGAAAGAGAGGCGGAGGCGGCGGAACGGACCCCGGCCAAGGCGGACGCTTCTTCCCCGGCTGCACTCTCACCGCTGCCGGCATGAGTTTGTTTAGCTAGCCGTTACTGTCACTACTCCTCCAGCTCTCCGTTACCGTTGCCTTCTCCGTGACCGTTACCGACACGGTAACCGATAGATGGACCCGCCGGGTGAGTCAGAGTCCACGTCGGTGCTGCTCCGGGGCTGCACGGCTCGCTAGAAGCTGCTACAACCCATCCTCTCCTGGAGGTAAGTGCACGCTGTGCGGAACTCCTTTGAAAAAACATCCAGTTTTAAAATTAATCACTTGTTAGCCAAATTACACAAGCGCCAGAATACAAATTAAAGTCCCCCTCGATTTATTAGCGTCTCCTCGTGTATTCGGCACACGTATTATGGCAGCAAGCAGAAGTTTCTTTTGGTGAAATTTCTACTTTTTGCAACCTCCGTGTGCTTTCTCATAATTACGGTCCACCCTGCTGAGCGGTGCCAACAGCAACGCGAGTGTCTTGGAAAAGTCGACATTTCAGCGAAGGCGTAGCTGCTCGGTCGATTGTACACAAGCCGAAGAGTAAAATCTCCACTTATGGTTATAAAAAGCGTTGGAAATCACAGGAAACTGTGTTTTTCGTGCACAAAAGCCAGGAGGGGTCTTAAAAAGGCACATTTTTGAAAGGGGTTCGGGCGTGCTGTCTGCTGCCGATAACAGCGGCTGTCGGGGCTTGAAAAAAGCAGCAAAATCGTGTCTCTTTGTCAAACGTTGTCTCCAAAAGAAGTCAGCAATGTTAAATAAAGTGCGTGTGAGCGTGTTTCATTCCAGTTTGTGGGATAAAAAGGCAGATCTAATGAAGGGAGCGGTGTGAAGTGGAGCTCATCTGTCAGATCAGGATCAGATGTGGAAGGTCGAGCAGCCGGTAAATCACATCCAGCCGCTGATCGGAACCAGACAGGAGGCTCTGAGATGGGAAAAACCATCATAATTTAATTAGATTAAAAACAAATACAGCTAGTTGTGTCTGAGGATGACTGTGCTGTAGTGTGTTAGTGAAGGAGATAAGATCTAGCAGCGTTTTTATTTCACTTTCACTCCTGACATCTGCTCAGTCTGTATCATCTGGACGAAAAATAAAGAAAAAATAATCATAAAATTGTCTTTAAAATGTCACAAATAATGACCAAGGCCATCCATCAAATTAGGATTTAATCTGACCGTCAGAAGCAGCAGATGGTTTTAGGCTTCAGCTGATAAATGACTTTATTTTGATCCACTTATTGTGTTTGTGCTGTTTTTAAATAGAAACCCAGCAAATGTGATAAAACCAAAGTCCTGCTTGTTTGGCATCTTTCTGCTCATTGTGTGTCTCGTTGTCGGTGTTTTTTGTCTCTTTGAGGTCGTTTTGTGTGAATTTGTCATCATTTAGTGTCT